GTATTAAGATTAAAGGCATGTGTATCCAATAATGGCTGTATCCCTGAACACACAGAGACTTACCCAGCTCTGCCTACTAAGTGCTGGAATTACAAGCGTACGCTACCACTGCCCTGCTTTCCTATGGCTTGCTAATAGCTCTGACCCCCGGGCAACTTTATTTATTAACATACAAATAACATTTTAATACAAATAAAATATCACCATATATGAGTGTTTTGCCGGCATGTATATTTGTGCACCACTTGCATGTCTGGTGACCACAGAGGCCAGAAGAAGGCATGTTGTGAACTTCCATGTGGACGCTGAGAATCAAACCTGGGTCCTCTGGAAGACAATTCAGTGCTCTTAACTACTGAGCCATCTCTCCAGCCCCGAATCTAACTTTTATAGTCCTGGATGGTGCTGTGTAAGCTGCCAAGGGAGGGCAGCAACCAGTGGTTTTACCAGATGTGATACCTATGAACCACAACAAAGGTCCACAGGCAAGATATCCTTAAAGGTGTAATTGGTTTTTGGTGGTAACCAATAGTGATCTAATTGGATGTAGGGCCTGCTCAAAGGAGGGAAATCATGCTTGGCACTGGAAGCCTAGCCAACTCACCAGGGCTAGTGACGTCATGGACCTTAGAGGAGAAGCCGCTAGTGCCGCTTACTAAACCAGCACAGTTCCTCACTGCATTCTAAATACTTAGCAGCATACCCACTGATGAGTGTCACTCCTAACTTCCCCACAGAAAGTTCTCTTTGCAAGAGACTGTTAGAGAAATCCGGAACTGGTCAAAATGCAGAGAACACTGATTACGGGGTGCCCGGTCTCAATGAATGCGTCTACAATGCAACCCCTGCACCTGAGGCTCAAGGAACATTTGGGAGAGGGGATAGAAAGAGTCTAAGAGTCAGAGGACCAGGAAATCTTCTGTGAGATTGTGACTCCTAGACATGACAGGGAGGCTTCACTCATAATACCTCAAAAAACATGGCTGCCCAAGTAAGCCCTGGACAAAGACATTACCAATAAACAACGCTAACATGGAAGAGAGAAACGTTATTGAACTCCATTCCCTACACAAAGAACCATAGTCAACTAAGGGATCCTAAGAGTGGGAGACTCATCACATAGCACATCGGATGGTGGATTTTTATTCTTTATCAGCTGCTGGCTGATATTGGTCAATCTCAAACCTGGAAACAAATCCATTTTATATTATTTTCCTTCTGGACTCTTTCACATTGTCAGTTATTGAAGAAGCATGGAAGGAAGTATGACATGAAGAACTATGTCTCTGTGACCGAGAAGCAGTGGAACATGCACTTCAGTGTGCAGAGTGTGGAAGTCCAGTGACCTCATCAAAAGAAATAGCTTAAACACATTCTGTGTCATCATTATTACAAAGTGCAAAAAAGCTGTCCTTGCTCATGATTAAGCAACAGCCCTCACCTGCAATCACAGGCACTTAATAAGCAGTTGGGCAACATCAGACACAAATCGCTTATCTTATTAGAGTGAGCATATGTTTTTCTTTCCTACAATATGGTAATGTATTAAGTCCATCATAATGGGACCTCAAGTTCTTACTCAGAGTGTTTAGCATTTATTAACATAATTAGCACAGCACCCCTTCCTATCATGTCAACATACCAAACTATATTTTCTATTTACTTTCCCAGCTAGCATAGAATATTACTAAGTATCTGGAGGTAGAAAAAGATAGACTTTAATTTGAAGTGGCTTTATCTCTCTATAGTGAGTATAGAAAAAAGCCTGTTTGTTTCAAAGCAATGTTTATGCTTGGTTTTTCCTATGACCTTGACTTCATAAAATGCCTTTCTTTACTCAGTAACTAAGCTAAATAGGGCATGGATTTTCTTACACTTCCATATGTTTCTTCTCTCTCACATCTTGGCGATTGTTGTGAATATATATAATCCTTGCTTGTCTTTTTAGCAGAGAATAGAATTTCTGGGATTGGTGCTAAATTCCATGATTCAATATTTAAAAGTCCCAGACTTGAAGGAATTTCTGATTTCCAAAATAAAGTGTATTTTCGTCATAACAAAGTCCTTACCATAGGAAAGAGACTTGCTTAATCTTGTTCATTTCATGGTGGCCCCTCTTTCATGGGGTTTCTCAGGCACAGGTCTAAAGTGGTTCTGAACTCAAACTGAAAATTTAGAAGACTATGTTGGTAGGCTCACAGTAATTTAAGCCTTTCTGTGTAGAACACGATAAATTTACAAATTTCTTTTACTGTTCATGGAGACACTGCTTCGTTGAAAAACAGTGTTTAGAACGGACAGTATTGAACTCATTGATTGGAAACATCTTGATGACTGTTTAAATTTACACGCTTTAGGGATCATCTCGCCGAAGAGCTGTCAAGCGCACGGTCAGTTTGATGAAGTATCCCTAAAACTATACAACTGCAGTGGATCACACTAGAACAGTGAAGGCAAAAATGGTTCCTGCTATCAGAGTGCCACCGTGCCATAGACTCAAACATTCCTTAAGTGTTCTATTTTTTTTCCAGGAAACGATAAAACCTTGGTGTGGGGGGATGTCAAAAACAGGGGCAATCCATGCAAATACATCCAAGTGCCCCTGGGACGTGAGCAACATGCAGTCACGTGAGCTCCATACCCGAAGCCATTGTCGCCACAGCTTCTCTTGTTCAAGGACATGGTTGCTCTCCTTTGCAAATTCTTTAATGCAGCTTTCAATTTCGATTCAGCTCCTTTCTCTCTACGCAGCTTCGGCCTTTCAGGAGTCTTTCCGGTGTCCCTCACTCCTGCCCAACTGTCCCCCCATCCCACACAGTGCCTGTGTTTCTTGCCCCCACACTTTGGAAGCTGCTCCTATGGCCTCTAGGATTCGTTTCAACCTATGCTCCTTAGCACAAGTTTTTCTTTCTAATAAACACACGTTTGTATTTAATTTTATACAGCTCTTTACAGCCCCTCTTTACCTCCGCATCCCCTGTGTGTGAGAAAAGGATTGTTGTTATTTTTGTGATGTTCGTTTTTTTGCATCTGAAACTTTGGTCAAGTCATTGAAATTCTGTCTCCACATTGAGTATAACACCAATTCTATTTTTCTAGTGAGCTTGTTGTGATGAAATGAAATAATGACTGTATGGTATTTAGGGGCTGACATGTGGTAAAGTCACCTTAATTATCACACTAAAGCAAGTTTCACACTGTGTACACAAGTGGCAGAAACTTTTCTAAGCTTTCTCTTGTGCTCAACACACCCAGAATAATGTCTCCTTCAGGAAGGACTCAGAACTTAGCAGGGGTTTCAGCACCAGATGTATAAAGCAGTTGAGGGGAAGGTTTTTACTGCAGCTATGAAGGAACGTACAGTCAGAGGCATCTGGAAGAGTCCATATTAGGGAGTGAAAATAGTACACTAAACATGGCCATGAGTGAGCCGGGCCATGATAGTGCTGAAGGTGGGGGAGTCAGGGAGGAGGACCGAGAGAGAGGGGCAAGAGAGAGGAGACAGAGAGAAAGGTGGGGGAGGGCACCAAGAGAGAGTCAAGAGAGCACATGGCCTAAACTGCAGGCTTATATAGGACTGAGCAGCTGTGGGAAGGGAAGCCCATAAGTTGGAGACACTTAGGGTGGAGGGCAGGGTGAGAAGAGCTGAGCCAGGATGCCCTCATAGACTCTGTAACTGGTACTTGGTACTTGAGATGCTGTGAAAATCTGGAGGCCAGCATGCACTTTGGTATGCTAACAGTCATGGCAGTTAGCCATTGTCCTGAGTTTCATTTGGACCTGACAGACAGTACAGAGACCTCTCTTTCCTACCAGAGAGAACGTTTTAGGTGACATGGATTTTGTCTCCATTCTTGGAGTTTAATTTCTAAAGCTTCCTAGATAATTATACAATAAAATTGCTGGCAGCTGTTTATTTTAATAAAGATATCACTTATTAAACAATTTGGGGTGTTGTACAGTCCTGGCTTGACTTTGGGTCCACAGATGTCCACCCTACCCCCCCCCCCCCCGGAATAAATGGAAGATCTATTGCACAATCTGATTTGAGTTCTACAAGGGGTGGGATGGATTGTAAGTCCCCCTGGCAGAACATCAAGCATTTGAGCTTCCAGTGTAGAAACAGCTGTGCGAGTCAGCTCTAATAAGAAATAGCTTTCAGGTGGGCGCCCCCAAAAAGATCAATTTTGTACTCATAGTATTTTCTTTTTTAAAAATTTATTTATTTATTATGTACACTGTTCTGTCTGCATGTATGACTGCATGCCAGAAGAGGGCACCAGATCTCATTATGGATGGTTGTGAGCCATCCTGTGGTTGCTGGGAATTGAACTCAGGACCTCTAGAAGAGCAGCCATTGCTCTTAACCTCTGAGCCATCTCTCCAGCCCCTACTCATAGTATTTTAAAGAAATGAGTAAATAGAAATTTAAGACAATGCCAAGTGTTCCCATGGCATGCATAGTTCCGTGATTAGGATTCCCCCCATTTTTAAAGAAAAGGAAGGCTCAAAGAGGCAAGATTTTTTTCATTATTCACTTACTGAATTTAAAATATCGAAAAGTAAAGGGAATGAAAGGCAGAACCTTAGGGACAAAGAAGGTCTTTAAAGATCCTGTCATTAAGACTGTTTCATTTGGGAAGTTTCTAAATTGTCTCTTACACTCAAACTTAACAATAACTTTCCTTAAGTTGTAATGTGTAAGACTGAACAAGATCACGTGTGTATTTTGCTGCTGCTGTAGACAGCAAGACTATTTCCCCTAGATCTTTGTGATATTCTTCTTACAAGGTACTTGCTGCAAACACTGGGCACGCACATTTTGACGGAACACCCTAGAGATGCTATGGTTTTTTTAAGCCCTGGGTGGGAGTTTGCATCTCAGCGCTGACTTCGCCTTGGCCGGGTTCCCAGGGGTTAGTCAAGCTGAAGCCAACCAGGGAGCCGACTGGGGCGGGATTAGCCTCGCGTTCCCCGCCCCCCACAACCGGTCCCGCCCCCAGCTTCGGTTGCTAGGGACGCCCCGCCCCCAGTTTCGGTCGCTAGGGACGCAGGCGTGTAGCGGCGATGGATCAGGACGAGGGGCTGACGGCCGTGGACAACATCGTCACTCAGTTCAACACCTACGAAGACTTCCTGGACTCGCAGATCACCACGGTGGACCTGTACTACCTGGAGGTAAGCGCTGGGCCACCCGGCCGGCCGCGGCGGGGCTCGGTCGCCCCCTGGCGGTGGCGGTGCAGATGGCCGGTCCCTGGCTTTCAGAAGCTTCCTCCTTAGGCTCCCGGGGTCCCAGGGCCCTGCAAACCCTGGTGTGCAGCACAGACAGGCAGTTGTGTAACTCAGGGTCCTTGTAAAACAGTAAAACGAAGGAAGAGCGAAACCGGTGGGAACCGGTTGCTGTGTGCACCTGAAGGCAGAGCAGCGGGAAAACCGCAGTGAGTGGGTTCTGCAAGCCTGAGACCGGAAGCCGGGGGAGGGGACTGGGGTGAGGGGGTAAGATGTCACCTCCCTTTCAGGGCAAAGAGAACAAGCACCATTCTCGGGGTTCAGCCACAGTGTAGTCTGGGAAGGATTTGAACCTAGCCAACTCCATCTCTCCTGTGCAAGGCAGTCACATAACAATTTAGTATATGGACCATTTTTTTTTTAATTCCCAAAATTGGATTAGCGTTTTACTTACTTGGACTTTTACTTACTTACTTTACTTTTACTTACTTGGAGGACTACTTGACTACTTGTTTGAAAAATGTTTTGCCTTCAAAATATATTGTGTGCCACTGTATGAAAATAATCTTAGCTGGACAGAATTTGTTGTTTTTGAAATTATCTGTGAAAGCAAGTGTGAGTGGTATTTCTAACAAAACATGATTTCTAAAAACAAGAACAACAACAAACCAAGTTATCAAGTTTGTTACACAGATAACTTTTACAATTACATTTATGTGTACACACACATGCATAAAAAGTCAGAGGACAACTTGGGGTCGGTTCTGAACTTGCATTCTATGGGTCCTGGAATCGAACACAGGTCATTGGGCTGGGCAGCGGGTACCTTTTCCCACGGAGTCTTTTCCATGCCTATTAGACAAATTTTTAAAGTCACAGAAGTTATTTTAATTATTCCTTGCATTTAAGACATTGAAATGAAGGAAAACAATAATGCTGCTTTCCTGTGTTTACATATAAGTCTTTGAATGTTGAAAAGAATCTCTCTCTCTCTCCCTCTCTCTCTCTCTCTCTCTCTCTCTCTCTCTCACACACACACACACACACACAAAAACAACAACAAACAAACAGAAAAACAAAACCCAAAATGTGGGTAATAAGTATCTTAATAAATAAAGTAGTCCTTGTAGCCTGGGTGGAACATTGCCAAGCTTAGGGCTAATAGTATTAGTCAGATTTCAATATATATACTTTTTAAGACACAGATTTTCAGGTAAGAAACTAAAAATGTTAATGTTGATTAGAGGTAAGAAATTGCTATGTTGTAATGTTCCAACAGTCAGAATTTTAGAAATCTCCAAAACAGAGAATGGTAACATTGTTGAGAGAATGGCAGGTGCTCTTAAATTTGTAACTATTTAGATCTTTTGAACTCTCATGAAAAAATAAGATGGAGTTGAGTAAAGGTACTAAGGCAACTGTGTATTGTGGCAGCTGGTTATCTCCTTCCATCGTGTAGTCTCAGGGATCAAACTCATGACACCAGGTGTGGGGTTCGTGCATTTACTTGTTGAGCCAATATCATTGTCCCTAATGACAACTTTTAAAGGATTGTTGGCCGTAGACACTTAAGTTATCAAATGTAGCTGCAAGGTTATGGCCCATTTAAGTCACATAGAAAGTAGAATCCTCAGAACTCCATCAGCAGTACCACAAGCAAAATACCCATGCTGTTTAAAGTAACTCCCTTTCTTGCTTGCTCACTTTGCTTTGCTTTAGTTTATTGTAGCATGAATCTTAACAGTACTTATTAATAAGATCAAACCCGAGGCCAGTTATTGGGGTAAATGCTGGAAGGTCAGAGTACCAGAACAAGCCACAGCTATCTCACCTTGCCAATTCCTCAGCTGGTCCTGTTTCCTCAGACTGGAAGCTTCTGTGTTCTCATCCCAATGGCTCTCAGCTGAACTGTGTTTCTCCAAAGCCTGAAAGCTTAACCAGCCAAATGCTGCTAGTTTCTGGTCCTCACGCCTTATAAACCTTTCTGCTTTCTACCACCACTCCCTGAGATTTAAGGCAGCTTTCTGGGATTAAAGGCGTGAGTCACCATGCCTGGCTGTTTCCAATGCGGCCTTGAACTCACAGAGATCCAGATTTCTGTCTCTGGAATGCTAGGATTAAAGGCGTGTGCTAACATTTTCTAGCCTAAGTATCTTGTGGCTTTTCTGTTCTCTGACCCCAGATAAGTTTATTAAGGCACACAATATTTTGGGGAACACAATACCACCACAGTTTATTTTTAAAATTTTTGTTTTTCAAGGCAGGGTTTCTCTGCGTAACAGTCCTGGAACTCACCTTGTATCCCAGGCTGGCCTCAAACTCACAGAGATCCGCCTGGCTCTGCCTCCAGAGTGCTGGGATTAAAGGCGTGCGCCGCCGCCGCCGCCGCCGCCGCCACTGCTCCGCTCAACCACTTTTCTTTTTGTCATAGGAAACTGACTTAAGTTCCAATGTGGAAAAATTTTAATTTAAGTTTTTTAAAATGGACACAATTACACATATCTTGTACAACGTTATCACATTGAAATATCTTGTACAATTATCTTGTACAATGTTATCACAAAGAAATATACACACTGTAGAATAACTAAAATAGAGACAATTAGCATGTTCTACCTCACACAGTTATACTCCTTAGTGTGAAAACATTTAAAATCTACTTCTTAGCACTTTTAAGAATATATTGTTATTAACTATAGTTATAGTACTGTGTAGTGGTCTCTTGAGCTTATTTGAATAGGGCAAATTTTAAACGGTAAATTAAAGATAGAGTATTATAGTCAGAAGAACTGTGAATTCCAAGACTCAGTTCTGTAACACTGTGTTTTAAATCAATTTGAAATCCCATTTCTTCATTGGAAAAAATGAAGGGGCTGGATTAGGTAATAGTTAAGATTCTTTTTTTTTAAAATTAAAACTTAAAGATCTTGCACATTAAAAACATCACACAGTAAAAATTAGCTAGACTCAAAATCTTCAGATTATGTCTGTCAAATTATAAGTTATTTCCACTCCAGCAACTCCTTTCTTAATCAATGTCTTTCACTGGAGTCTTCTGTGCTCCACACTGCCCTGATAGTTCTAGACTTGCTGCCACGCACCCACCGCCCTGTGCACAGGGTCATCTAGGGCACTCCAAAAACGATTCCCAAGTATTCGGTCCTTCAGGTGTGTACTCTCTGCTGCATTACGTGAAAGATGTTCTACTGTAAAGCTAGTTTCCATGAAGATGTCTAGCAATATTTCATGTTATCCTGTATCTGTGTTCCCCGAGGCTCACCTTGGTGGGTATTTATTATGTCCCACGGGTTTGTGCTGGTTTCAGCCAGCAGGATACACCAGCAAGAGATCAGAGGGTTGGAAGACAGTGGTGGGAGGATGTATCCCCTGCCACCTCCTGCTGGCTGTGGTTCCGAGGTGGCCGCACTCCTTGGGTTTGACCATCCTCTCTCGTGTGAGTTGCAGCCCTCTGTGGAGGCTCTGGCAGCAGGTGCTGTTGTAGGAGTTTCTTCCTCCCCTCTCCTGGTGTGTGCCAAGGTGTTCATCATGGTTTCCGCCTGCTGCTGCACTGGGATGGGTCCCCGTTCTTTGCTGGTTTCTGTGAAGTCTGTCTATATCGTCGTGAGTGCTGTTGCTATTTCCAGTCATCCCTTTTGCGTTTGCCCAGTAGCTTGCTGCCGTACAAGCCTAATTCCTGTGTCACCATTTAACATTCCAAATACACATTGAGCGTGCAAATAATGTATGCATATAATAATCACCATACATTTTACAAGAAGCTTGTTTAGGGAGCGAGGGAGGTAGGGAGAGAAATGACGGCACCATCTTAATTACCTTATGAGCCGGAAGATGAAGAGCGTGGTTTGCGAAGATGGAAGCGGGAGTTCTCCATCATCTGTCCTTCTCTTGTGTTTACTGGAAAATGAGAAAACATGAAAACAACGTTATTTCAGTAGCAGCAAATAAAATTATCTTTGCTAAGCGAATTAACAATATTGATTCTGTAAATTAGTATCATCTAATTAAACTAATCACTTCAGCAAGTGAGTGTACAAATCACTGGAAAGCTTCAGCAAGATTGCTACGTTATGGTTTTCAAGATGCTTTTCTGATCATCTGTCCCTTTGACTAAACACAGCCCTTCCTTTCAGTGGCTGTCTGTGACTACTGAAAAAATAAAAGTTCCAATTGAATTGCTTTCCTTGGGTAAGAGATGAAGAGATGTTAAGATTATTTAAAGATTTCCCTGGATAATGAATCTCATGCATGCTGTCATGCTTGAAGCACTGTGTTTAATTCCCAGTACTGGAAAAGCAACACACACACACACACACACACACACACACACACACACACACACACACACGAAACAAATCCCAACCAAGTAAACAAAAACAAAAAACAGTTCCGGATCAACTGTAGAATTATAGATGAAACTGTAGGGAAAATCCAATAACAGTTTACCATGACTGTAAAATAAGCCAACTACTAATAACAACTAGTCAAAGTAGTTTTTCTATTATTTATTATATGAAAATATTGTTTCTTTTATTCACTGGAAATATCTGGCATACATGGTTGTTCTTCACGTTAATGGAGTTATTTTTTGTAGCATAGTGCTTCCTCCATGTAGAAATAGTCAAGTTACCTCATGGATATAAATTCTGACCAGAGAAGAAACAGCCAAGAATATCTTAGTCTCAACATGTCTGAAATCTTATCATTATGATAAAAGTCAAATACTTGAGTCTGGTCTCCTTCTTAGTGTCTCAAAACAGTTTACAAAATCCACATTCTATGTGTTTACATCATATGTCATCCAGTTCTTAGTTATATTTACTGCAAAAGCTACTGGTGTTATACAGAGGCAAGAGGAGACGTGGAAAGAATTCCCAAAGAGAGTGTGTAGAATGAGAAGAAAATGGAACTCATGAGAAATGTAGACAATT